CCCTGGAGCCCCCTCAGGGAGGGGAGGTGACCACTCCCATTCTCTGGGCGAAGGTTTCTGGTGGTTACCTAAGTCACTCCACCAAAGACCAAACGTCTGTTTTGCTTTCCAAGCAGAAGCACTATCTGTGGCTGTTTCCTTCGGAAGGGGAAGGACAGAGGCTCAGAGGGGTATAGCATCTTGGGCTGGCCCTGCCTGCCTGTCCCACCGGTGGGTTACCTCGACCCTCGGAAGGAAGGTGATCTGAGTGGATCCTCCGCCCAAGTCCAGCACGCCCACGCTGCTCCTTCCTGGGGTCTTCAAACTGCCTAGAGCAAGGAGAGCCGGCATGCATGTTAGCAGGAGAGCGGCAGGGAGAGCAGCAGGGACGCTAGGGAGAGGGCAAAGCCAGCCCCTCCAGGGAAGGGAAAGCAGCTGCCGACACTCTCCGTCCGAAGGTGCACTGTGTGTCTGGGGACAAGTACACCAGCTCTGTGAGCTGTGGCTCTGATCTGAGTAGCGACAGGACAGCGCCAGCCTTCGGGGAGGTTACCGGACCTTCCGGGTCTACTGGGAAAGAGGCTGCTGGACCACCCCTCAGGCACTCAGGTCCTGGACCTCCGGATCTACTGCAAAGAGGCTGCTGGACCACCCCTCAGGCACTGGCTTCTTTACTTTTTTTTACCTCCTTGGCCAATTGACTATTTTATCTTCTTTTTAAAGGATTTTACCATAGGGCATGTGTGCTCAGTGGAGAGAGAGAGAGAGAGAGAGAGACAGTGAGAGGGAAAGTGAGAAATCACGTCCTGGGGGGATGGCCACGCTGCAATCCCTTCTCCTCCATTCTCTTTCTGAGATTTTGCCCGTGTGAGTTTCAAGCTGCCAGGTCTGGGACTTGAACAGCAGTCAGCCGTGTGGGAGTCCAGCGACGTAACCAGCACCCCACCTGCTGGTCCCACCAACTATGTGCCTAAAATGACGTGTCGTCATCCATACATGGGGGTACAGAGTGACCCCCAGACCGTGAACACTGTGGGGCCCGCGGCAGGGTAGCCAGCTGGCCCAGGACCTTGGCGACCTCGGCGTGTGCTGTGGCTGTGTTGGGAACGTGGGAAACTCGGAGACACGGGAAGTGGACGGACCACACTCTCCCTCTGTGCTTCCAATACGAGGCAGGTGGTGGGAGATAGGTGCCGACCTGCAATTCGGCCTCTGTTAACCGACATCACGCCGCTCCTGCCTGCCCTTCCCGCCCTGCAGTCATCCTGCGCCCGCCACCTCCGTGTCTGAGGACGTGCTGCAGTTCCCTGGGACAGCTGTCTCCGTCACACCGTGTTCTCCGGGCTCGCCCATTTAGTGGCAGATGACAGGATGCTGTCCTCTCAATGGCTCTGTGTGCCTGTGTTACTATCTCACATTTCCTTCATCCACTCGAGATGCGGATTCTCTCATCTCCCTACACTGGCCCTGCAAGGCCTCCTCTCTGATTGGCCACTTCCTGAAGCACCTGAGTAGCAGGGAAAATCCCACAAGGAATCTTCCTCCCCCCTCCCCCATATAATCACTGGACACTGATCTTTTCCCCATTCCCAGTAAAGGGACCGAAATCAACCTGTGAGACAGCAGGTGGCATGGTGGTTAAGGAGCTGGACTCTCATGTGGTCAACTGAGTTTCGAGTCCCGGACCTGGCGGCTTGAAACTCATGCAGGACGTGTGTGCCCAAAATCTCAGGAGGAGAATGGCATAGGAGGGATTGCAGCGTGGCCATTGCCCCGGGGGATGATTTCTAGTTTACTGTCTCTCTGGCAAGCACACACCAAACAAATAAACAAACAAACCTCTCAAAAAAGAAAAAAATCAACACGTGACAAGAATAATCCAAGAACGACGACTCCATGCCACCTGTTTCTAGAACATGTTTCCTGCTCTATCTGCAGCAGCGGAATTCAACCGTGAGGTACCCAGCAGGCATGTTACATGTGATAGCTGAAGACAAGACTGGCTTTATCATTCCTTCTTTCAGGAATGAGAGGACAGGCTTCTGGGATGCTCTGCAGGGATACGAGGGCCATGCTGGCCCTGGGAGTTCATTTCCGCCCACCCTACACCCAGCCTGGGGCCAGCAGCACTGTGGCTACCTAAAGAGCAGACATGGCCCCTGCCCTTCGGAAAGCTCCCCCCGGCCCCCGACCTCCTTGATAGGTATGTGTGAGCTGCTACCTTTCGGATGGAGCGGACACGCACCTGTCAGGAAGTTGACGGTGATCCACGCTGAGACGCCTGAGAGAGAGCAGACAGCATTGCGGTCACTGAGACACCGTCAGCGCAACACGCAGGACCACTACATGACTGCTTCCAGATCTCGCGAGCATAAGACGGCCACTTCCTCACGTCCCGCGGCCTTCAGGCCCCACACAGAGAGAAGCATTTCTCATAAACTGATTCAGTGGTGCCTGGTGGGCTGTTCTAGAACATGCCATACTCAGACCTAGTACTCTACTGAATACTGGTGGTTCTTCATCACCAGCTTTGTCTTTTGGAAGAGGTAGGAAAAGACACCAGTTTCCCTGCCCATCCCGCAACAAACTCACTAAGGTCATATTTAAATCAAGGGCTAGGGACCAGCAGTTAGCGTAATGGCTATGTTGCTGGACTCCCCATGTAGTCGACTGCGGTTTGCATCCTGGACCCGGTGGCTTAAAACCCACGTTGGGCGTGTGTGCGTGTGTGCCTAAGATCCCAAGAGGAGAATGGAGGAGAAGGAATTGTGGTGTGGCTATCCCCCCGAGGGGTGATTTCTCACTTTCTGTCTC